AGAAGAGGGAATCCAAAGGACCACTGTGACTACGAGGAGGGGCCCAGGCCCAGTTAGCAACTGTGGATAGGGTTCCTGGTTGGTGCAGTATAAACAGCTGCTCCCCCACCACATCAGCAGAAAGAAATAAAGAAAGCATCAAGAGAAAACAGACATTTCACAAACAAGAGAAAGAAGATAACAACGACTTTTGGAATTTCACTTAGGGCTATGAAGGAATAAGAGTTCAGAATTAACTTCCTGCCACAAACAACCAGAAACTGGACAAAATGTAAGAATGAATTATTTTCAGACAGTGGGATAACAGGCAGCAAAGCACTATGATTTCTGAGAGAAATGAAACAAACAAATTGAGCCTACAATCATCTAGACTTTCTGCCTGGAGGCAATTAACAGAGTACAGTACACATGAAGAAGGAACCCCAACAAATCCTGGCTAACTTTGTGAGTTGAAGAAACAGAAATCAGATTTTATGGAGGTTAAAGCAAGCTGAAATTTGCACAACGCAGTACCCAAGAGAAAGAAAAGGAAGAAAGAGAAACAAGAGCTCCAGGAATCTGTGTATGGGTCCCCTTGAGTCTTTGAACAAATTCCAGCATGGTCATGCTTAGAGTAAAACCCCAGGAGACTGTGCTAAGAACATTTACAGCAGAAAGAATAATTATAGGGGAGCTATAAGCTGAACAACTCCAAGAGCTCATACAGGGCCAGAAATCATTATGTTCCAACCAGCCCGAGAGAAAAGGATTCATTAAATAATGAAGCATTCGGTAGAGACTCAAAGGGTCATACCATAAAAGTGGGGCTAAATTAGCCCTGGAATAAAAACTACTTTAAACCTGACCTAAAGAACCTAAAAACAGGCTTCTAAATTATCAAACTTATCTACAAATAACTGCTCAGAAGAACAAAACACAACAGGCTTTAAAGGAATAAAACAAAGTATAACACTCAGAAACATGAAATTTACAGTGTTTGGTATCCAATAAAAGTCCAACATAGTACAGGCCTGAGGGGGAAGAACAGCAGCCACTGAGGGAAAGGCACAAAATTCAATCCAGATCCTTCTCCCTACATCTCCAAGAGAATAAAAGCCTTAAATTACCAGGGGAAAGGCAGCAAACATTGTGACCCTTAGGGGACTGAAAAACAACAATACAAAATCCCCCACCCCTGAGGAAGAGACAGAAACACAATGCTGGACCCAGAATTATAACTGGAAGGGACAGAAGTATTGAGATGGCCAAACCCCTAAGACCCAGGGATACAGGGCCTGCTAAGGCTGAGGAAGCTAGGAAAAGAAGATGGATGCAAAGTAAGGGACAGCAAGGAAAAGCTCATATATATGAGGATGAACTGAAACCCAAACCAGTTTCACTGTCTCTGATCTTGATAGTATGGGTATAAGTCAGAGAAACTAGAAGCCTTCATTATAGAGCTAAGTACATATCCATCTGGCCCA